ATTTTTCCTATCAAATATATATTTTTATTATTCATTATAATGAAGAACTTAGTGCCGAAATGTTGATTATTTTACAATAAACAAATTGTTTATTCAATCGCTAAATTTGATATTATAAAACGTATATATATATATATATATATATATATATATATATATATATATATATATATATATATATATAATTTCTATTTTAAATATCTTAATCACTTTACCTAATAAACTTAGTTTTAATGTTGGTAAATATATAACTAATAAATTAAATAATAAAATTTTCATTAATAGTAAATTTAAATATGAAGATAAATATTGATAATAAAAAAACATATGAAACTTCTAATTGATTGTGAATTGATATGATTTATACAAATATAAATGGATCTAATAAACATTAAACCTTGATATAACATGATTCTATTGATAGAATTATTAAATAAATTATTTATCGATTAATCAATTAAAGTAGTAAGAAAAGAACTTTTGTTATATAAGATTAATCATTATTCAATAATCCGTTGATTATAAATTATTAGGAACTATCAAATTACAATCATACTTATTAATATTTTCAACTAAACTATTGAAGAGTTTTAAAAACTAGAATGAAACAATTATCTTGAATCTGTGTAGTAAACTAATAAATTACAAAAATCTACAATTAAATGATCACTGAGTAGTGACTAGTTTCATGTTGTTTTTAGTGCTAACTTAATTCTACTGATCAAATTAAAATGTAACCACTGGTGTAAGTGATTCAACATAATGTACACTATGCTGAGACATAAAATAGTTAAAAGTGGTCAGTGAGGAACTGTAAACCTGATTTTTTCTATATGGTACCAATCAGCAAGGTGTACCTGTCATCACACAATGTTAAAGGTACGCTTGTATATCTGGATGAAACGGGATCGAACCCATCAGAGATAATCAGTTCAATTTAGATTACGTGTAAACCCTGTTGATGAGTGCCGAATAGCTCGATATCTGGATCCAACGTTTCCTGTAGACTACGTTCAATCGTCACATTATTTAAATAGTTTAAAACAATGTTATTAAAAAATTAGTGTAAAGTATTTCTTATCTCCCTTCGACCTCCAATAAAAATAAATAATTTTATTATATCCAAGTATATTTCAAAATTCAATGATGGATAGCATGTATCTGTTGAAAACTTAAAAAAATACCATCTTTGTTTGTTACAAAAAGTCGAAAAATTCGGTTATGTGAATCCTTTTTCAATTTTAGTAAAATGACAGATTCAGCAGGAATTTTTCGATTACTGCTATGATGATAACTGCACAAGGATCCGATAATATAATTAAGTTGGGTTTTTTTTTATCGAAATACCTATATGGTGAGTTTAAGATGCATACTAATGCCGGGTTTTTAGTAAAGACAATGACAATCTATCGGTTAAAAACTATATTCATAATAATCAAGTCTTTACCGCTTGATTTTCTAACTCTGGACGGGTTAGAAAACAGTTGAATAATCAATCATTCCCAACTCCTCCAGGTGATTATTTAATTCACTTCCACTTATAATAAGTAACAGTATTAAATTTTGGAAATCTAGATGTGTTGTTTTTTTCACGATGACAGTTACACTTAACACAGATAACAACTAGAAAGTTTATCCAATTAAAAATAGTTTAGTTTCAACCACATTCAATAAGTTATAATCACTAATCACATTCATTCTAACTATTAGGATATACTTAATGAATAATATCAGTGATACGTTAGTTAATGCATAATGACTTGTTAATTATGTGCATCACTGTCTAGTACATTATATTTCCTATCAATTGTTTTTAATAAACTATATTATTCGTTTGTCACTAATTTAAAATCTTCATTTTAAAACGAATGACATGATGAAATCTTCATTAATCTTTCATGTAGGGTACATCATATGAATCAATTAAAGAAATATATTGTACTATTGTTACTAATGTATATAATTAATTCATTTTCTTCATTGTAAAATAAAGAAGTATTTACTACTTAAGAGGTGGTCTAATTCATTGTTTCACAACACATATTATACAGTTTTGTATTGATTGTCAGATTTTTACGTCTAGACTATCAAAGAAAATCAAAATTTATTTAAATAATCTGTAAACCACTAATAAATAGATATTTATATTGTTTAAAGTAATTGGTATTCTATTATATTGATATATGAACGGCATATGTGTTCTTTCATCAATGATAACTATATTCTACTGTCATCAAACTAATGATGTGGTTATTTTATTCTTTTAGCCAAACTAGAATATTTTAGACAGGTGATATATAGAATGTCATTCGAGTAGTATATATATATATATATATATATATATATATATATATATATATATATATATATATATATATATATATATATATATATATATATATATATATATATATACATAAATAGTGATAGCTCAATTATCCCTAAGTAATTAAATTTAACACTATTTGTTAACATTTTGTAAATGGGTATTTCCTATTTGTTCATGTTAATATTTTGAGGTTTCTGTTCAAATTGAAGATGACATTATATTGATGATTGAAAATTGGCTGAACTGTTTATTAGAATAATAACTATACAAACTGGATTCGCTAAGTAATTTCATTTTTAAGATAAATTCTTTCATAAAATGATGAAAATGAACTACTGAAAACTATGAGTAGTAAAAAAACTTTTGTACTAGTTTGAAACTTCTTAGAAGTGAGCATAAACGACCAGAGAACAGAATTGAATCAATGAGATTTAAGTTTCGAAACGAGTATGATACATTTGAACTACTGAGTTTGAATCCAGTCATTGCACAATATAGTGCCTTATCATTCGTGCTCGAAACAGAAATATATCTAATTTTCGTTTACGTCTTTTCGAAAGTGCAATAGATTTTACAGTGACTGAAGTCTGAAACGAGAATCATTTCAACTCAGCAGTTCTGTTTATCGTCCTCGGTAATAGACCTATGAATTTATCAGTAAGTCGGGAACGAAACTAAAACAAATGAGGAGTGTAGTACTACCTAGTTTCAGAGGTTCTTTAAACAATAGTATTCCTTGAAAAAGTCTATAACCAAATAGAAATAATTGTCAAGATTCATCCAACAAAGAAAGTGGTTTGAATGTACGAGAATATAAACATATTCACTTATTCTGGGGTTATTATTTTAATTCTCAAATTTACGATATGACCAACAATATAATATATGTATTAAGTGGTTGTGTTTAGACGTCCCTGACAAATTGTTTGTTTTTTTCTCACCTTTTTTATGGTTACAATCCTGATGTATATACCAAGACTTTATATCTTCGACCTGTTTTAATGCTACATAATTCCTCATTTTTAATTTTAGATATCAGTAAGTGATTCCATTAATCTTTGAGTTAGTCAAGGTGTAGTTTCTTTTATTTAAACTTTGTTTTCTAGTAATGACAAATATATTAAAGGAAATTTTTAAAGATTTACTCATTTTCTGTCACAGACTATATAATTGAAATAAAGCATTTTAATAATGTTCTCTCTTTTATGCCACACATGAAGTTATCAGTATTTAATGTCTGTTAACAACCATAAAACACTGGATCATTGAAAGTTTTGTATAAAATTAATTAGCTGTTAGATTTTCATTTTATTTATATATATTTATGTATATCACACATTAATCAGACTTATAGACTTAGTTGAAAATGATAGGCATCAACATTCCATGTAATTTCAACACAATATACTTGATTGCAATATGCATTCATGTAATCTGTTTTGTAAATTTATTGAGAATGAAAAATAATTTCTTAACATCAGTTAAATGATATGAAATATGTTGAAGTCATCAATAAACAATAAATACAGAGGTTACATGAATACGTTATAGTAGTAAATACATTTTTTTGGATTATCTATTTAAAATTACAAATCGAGGAAATAAATTCTTGTGAGGATTTTTAGTTTTAGTCTCCTAGATCACTGTACAGTCTTCTTTTCATATTCAGAATTTCTAAAAGTGTTATGACATAATCTATTGATTATAATGCATTAGATAACTGAGATTATGAATGTACAGTTTTAGTTGGTGGTATAGGCTAAAAGATTTCTTTTGGTAAATAGTTTTCATTTTACTATTGTATTGAACCAATGTGGTTTATTTCAACAACAGTTCACTACTGGAGTGTGTAAAGAAAAGTATGCTGCATAATATATGGATGGAGATGAATATAACCTCCATCCGTAAATGAAACTAATGAGATTTTCTGCTGTAACATTACATATGTCTTAATTATAGATTTTTACTATCATTTTGCATGAAGTCTGGTTACACAATTTTTAATAATGAGCATTAATATATGTTACATTAATTATCGGTATGTCAGATAATTCGAGGTAGTCAGTAGTACACTTTAGACCTAGTTTCCGTGTTATTTGGCGCTTGCCAACATGTACCCACCACGCTAATAAAACTGATGCCTTCAAGTAGATTCAAACCAGAAACACTCAGCTTCACAAACTGAGAAGTTACTTCTGAGCTATTAAGAGATTTATTGACCTTCTGTAGGTTTAAAACATTTACAACTAACTAATCACTGAGTCATGATTAATGTCATAATTATCCAGTCCATAAGCTCTGAGCAAGCTTCACTGGTCACGTTTTTGATCAGTACTACGAAATTACGTTCCTATAGGTTTATATAATCTAATAATGATTAAACAAGCTTTGATAACCTTCGTATTTACAACTGCAGTGTTGCAAATTTCTTTCCACTAAGGTTGATTTTAACAGATACATCATCATTCCAAGATGATATTACCAATAATAATAAGAAGAAGAAAGAGTATGTATGGTTGCGAAATAATGAACTTTTTGTATAATAATCTTTCTATAAAATTCACTGAAATTTCAGACTCAAAGAAAATGTTTAATCTTCATTCTTCTAGTCTAACTGTAATTTTAGATAAAAAATAATGATAATTTACAAAATTTCAAAATTACAACTCACTTTAACTTGACTTTCAGACATTCCTAAGAAATATGCTAAACGAGCTCTTTCTGGGCCAGCTAAATATTTTGTTTGTTCAAATGTTTTCTCCAATGCAAATATTTGTTGACCAGAAAACGTTGGACGTGTATGCTTCTTTTTTCCATCTCTATCGATAACACTAATTGTATTTTCTGATTTAAACAAAAATAATCGATATAAAAGAATAAATATCATTTACCAATCGATTTCTTAAAATATTAAAAGCTACTTATTTGATAATTCAAAATGGTAAAATAAACAATAAAAAAATGTTAGAAGAAAGGGGGTTTTGTGGCGATTGTCGAAACTTTTTTTAATAGTTGAATTCATGAGTCGATTAAAGCTAGACCACCATGAAAAACCCGGAAGTACTAAACTGAAGTCTCGTCCTAGTATGGGACTCATCAGCAGTGGGAATCCACGATCTCACACACGGAATTCGAACCCAAGACCTCCAGTCTCACACAAGAACCCCTAACCTCTAGACCACTGAGTCGACATCCAACGTTGTTAATGTCTAACTCTAATCGATTCGTGATCTTGCGCAATCCTTCGTCTATCGTCCGAAGTGGATAACTAGGACAAGACGTTCGTTTAGTACTTCCAGGTTTCCCATGGTGGTCTAAATTAGATCGACTCATGAAAACAAATAAGGTTAAATGTGGTTGTTTGGACAAAATTATTTGGAGCTATTACGTCCAACCTTGACAACGATAACTACAATTCTTGTTATTATTGCTCCATGCTCTAATTATTCATTGGTTTTTTCTTCACAGTTGTAAATGATCGTAAGTACTGTGTAAAAGAGATGGAACTACTCTTAGTTAAACTATTAACCCGAAAAATGATATTTCAATCTTCTTACTAAACAAAGAAATATTAGTTCCAAACTGGTTAATGTCTTATCAAAATAACTCATGATTCACATCTTTTCAAATTATGTATTCTAATACTCTCTTCCATTACATATTATACTCCTTTTTGTAATAACCTGTTAACTAATATATACTCTATGATTATATGCAGAATATATATTCTTTTTTGGTATTAAAATAAGTAGTAGGTAGACAGTGGAAAGATTTAATCATATTTCTATCCTATTAGTTACTGATGAGACAATATTGAAACATAAATTTAACTATTTACTGTTTTTAAAAGTGAAACTTGTTTAAAATAATATTAAGTCAAACATTAATCGTCGATAATATCCTCAATTATATTACAAATCATGGAAGCTTTAGACTTATGCTTAGAGTAAAAGGTAATTTGAATACTTTCGTATTTTTAGATCTACCGATTTCTTTTTATATAGCGAATTCAATAGATTGAACTTCCTTTTATAGATTTAAATAAAAACAAATATGATTAGCATTTCAATATACAATGAATGACTTTTGTTTATTGTTATTAATATTTTCTTAAATCTTCGATAAACAATTTAAAATTATACCATCTATCATGATAATCCAGTAATAGATGTGTTAACCAATGAATACAGAATGATTATCTCTTGGAATAAATCAATTGAACTGTTTTAAAAAAAAACTATGTAGTTTCATTCTCATCCTCTTATATGTTCTCTCTGATGTTCAACAAACACTCAAATATCTAATTAATGAAAACGAGTTTCTTTTGAACATTGAAAAGTTCACTCATTTCGATGTATCTATTTGCATGTTTATCACAAAGTTTTCAATAGTTTACAATGAATTTTGCATCATGATTTTAGTCAGTGAATTCTTTTAAGAACCTACTCTTTTCCGTTATTACAAATTTAATTTGTTTATAATTAACAGGAAACTTTTCTATTCTACATGTTTTCTTTCTGTTTTTTCTCCCATTTAATTTAATTGTTATAACGACTGATTATGATTGTTTCAATGAATTAGCCTACAATATCCATGTTATGATCAATATCTGCTGTAAATTTTAAATAATAATAATAATTATTATTATTATTATCATTAGTGATAATTTACATTTATCTTATTACAACTTACGTTATCATGTCAGACAAATGAAAAAAAAAACATGAAGAATTAACGGACAATTAACAGTGACAAAATGTACGTCGACCGTTGAACTGTTATTAATTTAAACAATAATATTTATATTTGAGTAAAAAATGAAATCGCATAAAATTTAATTATCGTCAATAAACACAGTAAGAAATTGTAGTTATTATCATTACCATTATTATTATTATTATTATTATTATTATTATTATTATTATTATTATTATTATTATTATTATTGTTCAAATAGATATACAAACAAACTTTTATGACGTGTTTATTGTATTTCTGAAATTAATTGTTTCATTACGTTACTGAGATAATCCATTACTATATTTTAAGTATATGTAAGTTTAAATGGCTTAATTATTGTTCCGTCAACGGTATATATATGTATGAAACTGTTTAAGTTAGTGTAGACAGATATTTCAATATTTAGATAAGTGATAAATTCGGAAAGCTGTTCTTGGTAATAACAAGAACCAATGAAAAATTTATAATTTTAATAATACCATATAAGGATAAGCTTAATGTGAACTTTGGAGAGGTTGGTAATTTCAAAAACAATCTATGTATGTATGGCGGTTCCATATTATTGAAAACCTTCATACTGTAATAAAATAAATACTGATTTGTTTTGGATTTCTAATGCTCACCTAAATAAGTCCAGTTTATGATATAAGATGTCGTCAATTTTCAGCCATCTCTACAATCTTCTCCTCCTGTTATCATCCATCAGTTCGAGTTGAACTTGTGTCATTAATAAACTGATCATCAAGAGTTTGCTGCATTTTAATTTAGTGTTGCTTGATTTACAGTGGAATCTCGGTTAGTAATTAAGTCGGAGCATACAAACTTTAGACTGTACTCAGTTTTTGTTGAAAACTCCATGGGAAAATAATCACAGAAATACACATAGATTTCATATATTCACATGTATTTCTTTATATTCAAGCAGTTTGTGTCTGAAATCTAAAGTGAATTAAAAATTGCCACTATTAATAATGTTATTTTAAACTTCTGAGCTAGGCGAATCGAATGTTTTGTCAATAATTGACTGAAATTCATAATGTGACTTAATGCGTCTCAACTCATTCACTCAGTGTTGCCTTTCACCACAATGTCTAGATGTCTTATGCTTAGTCCTTCACCTAGACTATAAGTGTTCACTGATCAAAATTTTCAAACTTGGTTGAAAAAAGAAATACAATGACTTCTGTACTTGTAACAAAAAATCACTTTTGAACTCAAGTATGATCAAAGGAACCTTTGTCATTAGTTATACCTTCCAACTGAAGATTATTAATTTTATTTCATTTGGTGATTTTTATTCAGAAATCAATCCTTTCAGATCAATCTGGAATATGAAAATAGTTCCATATTGCATTTAAGTAGAAGTATGAAATAAGGTCAATTTACTATACTTCAAATCAAAAGCAATAGAAATATCTAATACATTAAAACATGAGTCTTTGAACAACAGATATCTGTAAATAATTCATTGCATACAGATGAAAATAAATTGAAATGAGTATAATTGAATTATTTTTAATTATTAACTTATATAGAAATATATAAACTTTGCAATAAAATATAACATCTAGAAATGTTATTTCTTTTCGTATTTTGAGTTTGAAACAAATAATCTTAGGTTGCTTGAAGATAATCTCATTTAATGATTAAATCAAGCATGATTGTTTACAAATTTGAAAAACGAATGTTATAATTAAAAGTTAAATGTGGGCAAAGGTAAATGTTGGCTAATAGTAGAGTCCTGGACGGGCGTTTCGTCCTACCCGCACCTCAGGCTTAATTTTTACTCTGGGGCCCGAGTCCTGGGATCCCAAATTAGACGAAACACGCGTTCTGGATTCCATTGCTAGTCACCATCCATTTTTTTAATAATGCTTGTGAATTAGGACATTATCGAGGCCATCCGCACAATACATATATATGTCAATAAGAATCTATTCAGTTACAGTCGTAAACATCAATGGGAAGATTTAAATAAGCAATACAAAAGTGAATCAAACATTAGATGGTTTTTAACTGAGCGAAAATTGATCTATTGGTATTTTTTCTTCTCATTTTAGTTATTCGACTTGGTGACTACGATTTTTTCAGTGTTTGTAACATTATTATAGGTAACGAATAGTCTAATACTTGATTGACTTAATGAACGAGAACTCGGATGAAGACCAACGATTTATTACTCGATGATAAAAATTAAGTAGTTTTTTCGTAAAATGTGAAAGACCATACATTAAATACTTTATTTGTAAGTCTTCCATCAATTGTCCTTTCCATCTTTCATGATTCTTCCATTGCTCAATTTCCTTATATTTCCCTTTCTGTTTTCTTTAGTGCAATCTTCTCTACTTTCTTTCGACAGACGTTCAACTTCTGACTATGTTACGTATTACTTGTGTCAGCAGACATAAGTAGCATACACCACGATAATAGATTGAGAAATATTGGAAACCTAAGAATCATCGATTTTTATGTTATCGTAGCTTAAATTTTCTTGGGAGTATATAATATTAATCCATTTTTTTAGGAGTCTAGCATAAATCCTTCACATTTTCATCATTGTAAGTCAAGAATGAGAACTGAATTTCAATCAGTTTTGGTTGGTAATTGTAATATTCTGCGCGGATTATCTAGAAACAGTTAGTCAAAATATCAGCAATAAGATCATCAAAACCATAACTAATAGTGTTATAAATATTGTCTCTGTCTCACGAAATAGTAGCTACATGCGCTCAATTGTTTAATGGATCAAGCGTTGAGCTTGTGATGCAAAACGTGTTAGACTCGAATAATAATGTAAACATGTATGTGCATAAACCTTCGTATTTAGTAATTAACTAGTATTCTTTAGTTTGTATAAATTCATCGCTACAAATTAAAGAAATAAACTGCTGACATTTACTGCCTTATGGAATTTGTTTCTTTATTAGGATATTATATATATGTATATATCATTTCTATTATATAACTGAGCTATTCAATGTTTAATTTCTTAAACATGTAAATATATATGCTTCTTCATACTTTGTTTCTTGTATTGTATTTCCTTAACTGAAGAGGTTATTTCATTTTATATGGATATTAACATTTGTATATTAGTTAAACAG